AGCGCTCAGTCAGACTGTTTGTTGTAATGTAGGGAGATCCGGTCTTGGGGAGGGGGCGGGGTCAATGACGGCGGCTGCAGCGTGATCGTCTGTCTCTTTTATTTAGGGACACAGAGAAGTTCAAAGGAGAGAGAAATATAAGTTCTTGTTCCACTTTATTCTTTTGTTTCATGATGATAAACTGATGTTAAATTTCAGCGTAAAGAGAAACTGGGAGGAAGCTTTGGTTCATTTTAGGTTACAGGAGACTTGTCTCCTATCTGCTCCTCCAGTGACAGCATGAGGGTTACATGAGGGTCACACAGGACAGGTTAGTTAGCTGGTTAGTGAAAGAGATCCATCAACTGGGTAATTTAATCCTAATCCAGCCCCACAGCCTTCTGCTAGTGTTATCAGAAAGAATAAAACACATATCTTAAATATTATTGGAAGTGTAGAATTTGTTTTATGTTTTATTATTTTCTGCATCAAACAGAACTTGTTTCATTCTCCAACATTTCAGAAATGAACCACTGGGTCCAAATGAAATTAAGTCAAACATTTCATTTGGTGTTATTTCTGACACCCTTCAACTGTGGCATAAATATTTGACTCTAGAGCTGCTCAGAGACATTAAACACTCATATGAACCCATTATGTATTTTATTATTACATTATGTGTCCTGTAGGTTTTCAGTACTTTTTTAGATTTTGTGAGTTTTTGCAAAGCGTGTTTTTCTCAGGCTGAGGCGTGGTGTTGAACGAGGAAACAGATGTTTTACTTTGTTAAATCTTCTTAAATGTTTAAAATGTTTTGTCCTAACCTGTTGTGAATGGAGAGCTTTTGAGGGGTGGCAGGTTGTGTCAATTATGTTTTAGATAAAAAAAAAAGCAATTATCTGACATCTTCTATTTATCGATGAAAACAAATCAATATGAAATAATCGTGATGCATCGTGATGCATCGGGATATCGAATCGAATTGAATCGTTGACCCAATAATCGTAATCGAATCGGGAGACAAGTGAAGATTCACACCTCTAATTGATCATGTGCCTTGCCTACTTGTACAGGGGAGATCTCTGTTTGGCTGACTGGTTAGCGCACGTGACTTACACCTGGGAGTCTGGGGATCGAATCCTGATTGGACCATTTTTTTATATCGGCCACAGATCTCTCTGAAGAATTCACAGCATTGACAGCTTCAGCAACGCTGTGCCACTCGGTGGATTTTCTCTTATTTGTTTTGCAAAAGCACTTCCTTTCATTTCTCCACCTCACCCACAGGTACCTCAACTTCTGCTTCTGTGAAATTGCGCTTCCTTGATCTGCCTTGATCTACGGTCGCCATGTCATTGGCAGAGCGCTTTAACAGCCGGCTTATGTATATGGATGAGATCCACAAGTCACTTTGCATTGACTATTTATGGCAGTAAGTGGGCGTGGCGAGGGCAGGATGTGACTAAAATACAGCTGAGAAACATTCTCGTTAGTCTCTGATTTATGAAGCGGAGATTGCGTGCAGCTGTGCGTACTCCATGTTTGATAGAACACAAACCTGCTTGGCGTAAGTACATTGTTTTTGCTGAGCTTAAGTACGGTTTTAGTAAGGATTCTACGCAATGTTTGATAAATGAGACCCCTGGTTTTTGCACAGGATCAGTTAGAGGTGGAAGATATATGGAATAAACTCAATGTATCCTAAGTTTTTTCACCTGCTATTGTTAAAATGGCTCTATCGTAACCATTAGATCACAACACGCCCTATAGGTTATAAATTGTAAGTCACTTTGGATAAAAGCGTCTGCTAAATAAATAAACATAAACATCAGTATACGTATACAAACTGTCACAGAATAATTCAACCTCTCTTTTTTTTCTCACACACACACTCTGCAAATGCATCACTACTCCCCTCCATCAAAGTAAGAAGTATGGGCATAGCCCATCAATTGTTCCACGGGAGGCAGGTTGAAGCCAAAAGTGGGAGGTTCCCATCACAGATTTTTTTTTTCACTGTGTCACACGTCTTGTCACGCCCAGACAGTTCGAAAATGGGGAAAGAGGTGGAGCTAAGGGTGGGACAGGGTTGGAACAAAGAAACCAATGTAGCTACTAGCTAACTTAGCTAACCCAAGAAGCTAAGAAGGGCTCTGGGGACCGGAGTTGCCCACTCGCATGGCAGACTGACTCCAGTGCGATGCTGTTGTCATGCTGATCGCCTGTGGAGATCTAATGTGGACTGGGACTCTTAAGTTACAAGCAGAGCCTGAGACCACTGCGATCGTAGCCGGGTGCCATGGCCTTTTACATCACCTCATGCTCCTCGCATCGCAGCAGTCCGCGTGCCCGGGCAGAAGATGGGAGAAGCTGGGCACCCATTCAAGCTTCTTATCCAGCCAGCAGCCCCACTAACATGTTTGACCAAGCAGTGAAATGACACAGCCCCCATTCCCATTCAACCAGTGAAATAAATACAGAAATATAAATGTACTTCTCAACTCTGAGTTCATGACTCTTAGAGAAACCAGTGAATATAGAAATGACATGCCGTAGAACGTTTTAGTGTGAGTTTGATTATATGGTGTAATAGCTTTCCATATTCGTTCTGTGATATTGGAGGGCTTTTCTCAGTACACGGCCTTAGTATCCGACTGATGCTGGTATTGGGACATCTCTAGCTTGGCTTTTGGTCACATGTAGTCTAGCTCTAAACGATGCCAGTCTAACCAGCATAAAGATTGTTTAGATACTTTCAGGACCGACTTGGAGCTGTTCTTTGTTTCCAGGCCGGATCACCTGAACAGTCATGTCCGACAGGTGCACTCCACAGAGAGACCGTTCAAGTGCACGGTAATGTCCTCATGTGTTTGACTCCTTTTGTAACATTTCCTCTCTTCCATCGACACCTAAACCATATTCTGATACCATTTGTTTTATGTGTCTTTTTTGGGGTAATTATTTCTCTAAATTTGACGAAAGCAGATCACTGGAGTATTTTAGCTCTAAAAGTTAAACTTGAATGAAAATCTTTATCATTTAAAGGCTTACTGAACAACTTTTTCATATTTTAAAATAATTTTCTGAAGCCAGTGTGTGCTAAAACTATCCGTTACAGGGTTAATGAAATGTCACTCAGACCCCTCCTCCACGTGGCTAGAATACCGGACTTGCAACTTCAGAGTTGGGGGGCCGTTACCTGTTATGTTCCAGTCTGGCTCCAGCAAAATTCCTGCATGTTTTAGGTCACCAGCACAGCTGATTTGTTTGATTTAGTGATGAACCACTCCTGTAGACGCTAATGAAGGCTGGGAGACATATCAGCTTTTAGATTAAGGTGTTACAAAGACAAACTCACAGCAAGGAGATAAGTTTCACTTTTGCTTTCACAACAGTGAATTAATAATGGACTCTAGGGGGTGCTAGAAGCAAGCTAAAGCTGCATACTTTCCCTTTTAAGATAGTTTGTTTTACATGTGTTAAAATTTCATGTACCATTACAGAAAATTGAATTAATATTTGTACAAATATGACTTTGTACTTAGTGTTTTGTCTTGAAGGCACCTGTCACCTTGTGTTTTGCAGACATGCACATCAGCGTTTGCCACACGGGACCGTCTTCGTGCTCACCTTATCCGTCACGAGGAGAAGGTGCCGTGTCACATCTGTGGGAAGCTGTTGTCTGCAGCATACATCACCGACCACATGAGGGTCCACAACCAGTCCCAGCACCACGCCTGCCATCTCTGCAACCGCAGTAAGACTAAGCTGCATCTGAGGACAGGCAGGCAGTCTGTCACAGCATTTCATCATGTTTCTTAAATTTAATCTATGAAAAGAAACCCCAAACGATGCACAGTTTGAAAAACAGACAATAGGATGTTTTTCCTAAAATAATGATCTGAAAATGAAGAATTGGTGGATGATTCAGATTCTTTTCAGCTGCTGGAGAAAGTTAGCCTGACAAGCCAGACTAAATAAATATACTATTAAGTCTTGCAACCCTCCATTGACTGTTCTCTGTTGTGGGGCGGGTTCTACCATTGTCATTCAGACGATCTCGTCATGCTACTGGACAACAAAGGTGATATATTCACCGCAACTGATGTCGGTAAACGAGACAGTCCGCTCTTTAAGAAGGCAAAAATACATAATTTTTCTAAATAAAGTACTTAAATACATCTATCTGCTCCTGATTCTAATAAAGCCCAAGTCCAAATAGTCCAAATTGATATAAAAGCTGTTTAAAACGAGCTGTCGCCATCTTGTTCCACTCTGTTGCATCATCCTGCCTATCAGACGAATAGAGGGCCCTGATTGGCCCACAAAGCGGACAGAGCGCTGTGATTGGCATTTTGGACCTATCACAGCGCTCTCTCCGTTTGAAACCTCTATAGCAGTGGTTCCCAAACTTATTTAGCCGCGCACCCCCTTCTATGTCCCGACCATGTTGACGCACCCCCCAGCCCCACATCAGGGCATGGCTATATATATATATATATATATATATATATATATATATATATATATATATATACATATATCAGATGTCACGCTAAACCAGGGGTCAGCAACCTGTTCCCATCAAAGAGCCATTATTACCCGTTTCCCACAGTAAAGAAAACACCGCAGCAGCCGCGGCGTTGTGGGCGGGGCCTACCCTCAGACAGCAGAGAGCTGCTTTAACCAATCACAATAGGTGACAGCAGCCAGTACCGGTCGCTCGTGTACGTCAAAGTAATCTTTCATAAGACGATAATCAATAAAACGATTTATATAAAGTGGATCCAGAAGCTGTAGCCCGTCTCTGCCTACAATATTTTGATATTTTTCACCCTGTTGGTGGTTTTACTGAGCAGGTGCCACTTTTGTCATATGTTTCTTTTTAAAACATGTTTAGACTGTTCAGAATACAAATCCAGGCTCTGTCACGTTTGCTTGTTGTAATTAAACTTTGTAGGTGGGGAAGGTCAGAAAAGGATCCGATCAATTTGTTTTTCCCTCATTTAGAGCGACGGAGATAACGGCGCAGTGCGCCTGGCTCCGGTGTTAATCAAGTTAAATTATATCTCTTTGCAACAATTTTCACAAGAAAACAGAACAGTTAAAACCAGATAGTTCCCGTATTTAACCGTTTATTTTGACGGAGAAAGAATAGAAAGAATTACCCCGACGCATGCAGACGAACTGACACTTTATTCTACGCACATCGCAGATGTAGCTAAATCACTCAAGAAATGATTTCCTTCTGAACATCTGAGCTGGACACTGCTCAGCGCAGCTCGCTGTCAGCGTGTACATGAGGTGCACAGCGAGCTGAAGATGTGGAGAGGGGCTTGGAGCGCATCGCAGAACCAGAGCGCATGCAGGAAGATTCCTTCCACTGAAGTGAGAGTTTTCCAAACCCGGTCTCTCAGAGCTCAGAGAGACTTGGCACTTAGAAAATGTTCCCTGATGATGAAACTTTGGCTGAATTGTGCTTGTTCCTGTCTCCAATGTGGCATCTGAGGAGAAGCCCAGAATCTCACATCGTCTTCAGCTCAGACAGCGCCTATGATTACGCACAAGCGTGACCCGTCAACCCGGTCTCACAGTAAGACCGGGTTGGAACTGTTCAGGTTTAAGCAGACAATCTTTACATTTAGAATTAGCATACAGATGTAAAATTAATGCAGTAAAATATAAAGCATTTTATTTAAACATCCATTCATTATTTTACAAGCACAGAGAGCCGCATCAGATGGATGGAAGAGCCGCAGGCGGCTCCAGTGCCGCGGATTGCCGACCCCTGAGCTAGGGCATGTGCAGAGGACACACACACACACACACACACACACACACACACACACACACACACACACACACACACACACACACACACACACACACACACACACACACACACACACACACACACACACACACACACACACACACACACACACACATACACACAAGCAAAATATACTTGTTTTCAATTACGTTTATTGGGCCCACTTACATTTTCTTAGGTCCACTCACAAATGAGTTTCTGGCTACGCTAATGGTGACTTTTGACAGACTTCTCTGAGCTCCGCAGCCATTACACTTTTCACCTCGCGCACCCCCAGGGGTGCGCACACCACACTTTGGGAATCCCTGCTCTATAGAGAGCTGCGATTGGAATGCTGCTAGGGGCCGCGGAGGTTCCAGTGGAGCGTTTCTAGACCAAACTTTGCAAAGCAAGGATTTTTTCTAGTTCGCTAGGTTAGGAGAAAGCGTTTTAGGCTTCACTCTTCTACGTTTTGCTCTTGTTTTAAAGTTGAAGACCGCTTGAACAATCTAAGATTTTTATATTTGTTAATTCTTGATCCAGAAAGTTGTTTTATTAGTTATTTTTACCATAATTAATTTTCAGTGTTCTATGTAGAGGATGTGTATCGGCAGGGTGCAGAAAATTTGTTCCAAAATGGCATTTTATTATTTTAGAAACGTTCAGAGCCTGTAATCACATTCCACCAATTGTGTGTGTGTTCCAGGTTTCACCACCCTCACCTACCTGCGCGTTCACGCTCAGAAGCACCACGGTCAGGAGTGGAAGGAGAGCGGCGGGGCACGGGGGGGCTTCGGTGGGACAGGGGCTGGTGGCGTGCTGCTCTGTCAGCTCTGTGGCGTCCAGTGCAAGACAGCCACACAGCTCCAGGGTCACATGGGCACCCACGCCCAGCAGGGTGACCCCACCCCTGATCAGACAAGTGCTGGACCTGTTGGCACAACCAGCGTGGCCATCACCGTGTCTAGCCCGAGCACAGTGGGACTGCTGGTTACTGACTGCTCCAGTATCGCCCCCCAGGCCCACAGCTAGCATGCTGACAGGGTGGTAGGGAGGGGGTGGGATGGGTGGGGTAGGGTGGATTAGGGGAGGAATCGGTGAGCAGGAGGACCGAAGACGGCGCAGTTGGGACAGGTGTGTTTAAAAAAAAAAGTTTTAATGTCAGTCGATCATCCTTACCTGGATTTATTCATGAGTTAAAACTATCAGCAGATATGATAACGAGACATTTCATAATCAAAAACTTTCATTTTATAAAATTTTCTTTTTACCCTAACTTGTGGAAAACCCGGAAGCTTTCAAGAACCCAACTTTCCTAAATCCGAACAGAATTTAATCTAATTACAGCTTAATTTCAGAAGCTTGGTATGTTTTTATTAGCTACTGACCAGCCTCACCTGTTTGAGCCCAGATCTTCTTACAACACTGTTGCGTATTTTAGCCTAATTTAAGTTTGTTTTTTTAAATACATTTTTCACATTTTAGAGGTTCCTGTTTGTAGTTAAAGCACTAATGCGACAATAGTATTAGAAAAACTACGTTTAAAAACTTTCTGTTTTCCAGATATTTTTTCCAAATGAGAACTCGGATCAGGGAGGAAGGTTGATCGCTTCATGAAGACCGAGCTCTCTCTGAACTTTTCTGTCATTGTTTTGCTGGGAAAGGAGCACTGAAAAACTGGTCTGCCTACTATTCTGAGAGACTTACAGACTGATGAGACAGGAGAGCGGACAATAAGGAAACATATTTGTCGTTTAACAAATTACAAATCTAGTATTTTTATGGCTTTGAAATTAGCTGCCTTCATTTCATTGTTTCAATTTTCATCTAACCTGCACAACCTCTTGTGGTTTTATAAATCCCTCACTGTTTTTAAACCATTTATATTCCATGAAACCATTGTTTGTTTGTACTAAGGAAATAATTCTGATTTATTCTTTGAATTTATGGCAAACTGATCTCCAATTTGCCTGTTGTCAGATCTTTCGGAGCAGGAAAGCCTCCCAGGATGTGGGAGCAGGTTACTGATGGGCCTGCGTGTATATACACACTTTTATACATCTGACAAAGACAAACTATTATTGTTTGTGTATATTCTTCCTGAACATCGAATGTGCATAACTTCTCTGCTTCAGTGATTTTTGTTCTTACTCTAAATGCTGATTTGTAAGTCTTTAAATGATTGATTACCATGTAATTTGTTGCTACCTTGGTGATTCATTTTCTGTGGCTGTGCATATTGATTGTAACTGATGCATAGTGCATAGCGCCTCGTTAAAGTTACTGTATTAAAAAACAGTAAAATGCATGTGTGAGTTTCAGTAGAGATGACCCTTGAATGTGTCTGTTTATGAGAAAGGTACAAGACCCCAGGCTAACCTTAACCCATTCACAGCCATAATGCTTGTTTTATCTTCCAGTGAGGACGCAGAGACTGGGGACTTTGGGTTGGACTCTTCATTCTCTGGTGCTGAGGTCACTGGGGTGGTCAAAAACCTCCTTGGTTCCAAGTCCAGACTTCCTTAAGGCTCTGGATGTTGTGGGGCTTTGTTGATTGACGCTACTCTGCAATGTGATGCGGAAATGGGAGGTAGTTCCACTGGACGGGCAGACTGGGGTGGTGGTCCCTCTATGTGAGAGGGGAGACCACAGGGTGTGTTCCAACTACAGGGGGATCACACTCCTGAGCCTCCCTGGTAAAGTCTACACAAGGGTTCTGGAGAGGGTCTGTCGGATAATCGAACATCGAATTCAGGAGGAACAATGTGGTTTTTGTCCAGGCTGTGGAGCACCACATCGGCACTAAACACTTCAGGGGGTCCTGGAGAGTGTGTGGGAGTCCGCCCAAGCAGTCTACATGTGTTTTGTGGACTTAAAGAAGGGGTTCGTCCGCGTCCCTTGGGGGGCCCTGTCAGGGGTACTTTTGGAGTATGGGGTACCAGCTCTTTTGATACAGGCTGTTAGGTCCGTGTATGACCAATACCAAAGCTTGGTCTGTATTGCTGGCAGTAAGTCTGGCTCTTTTCTGGTAGTTGGACCTCGCCGAGGCTGCCCTTGGTCATCAGTTTTGTTCATAACATTTATGGACAGGATATTTAGATGCAGCTAAGGTGTTGAGGGGATCAGTTTTGGTGGCCTGCTTTTTGCAGTTGAAGTGGTTCTGTTGGCTTCAGCAGACCGTGATCTCCTAGCTTTAGCTGGAGCGGTTCACAGCAGATTGTGAAGCAGCTGGGATGATATTCAGCAGAGATCATGGTCTTGAATTGAAAAAGGGTAGAATGCCTTTTCCAGGCCAGGGATGAGATCCAGCCTCAAGTGGAGGAGTTTTAAGTATCTCGGGGTCTTGTTCATGAGTGAGGGAAAGATGGAGCGTGAGATTGATGGGCAGATTGGTGCTGCGTGTATAGTACTGCGGGCCTGTACTGGTCTGTCGTAGTGAAGACAGAGCTCTTGATTTCCCGGCGAATCTACGTTCCAACCCTCACCTGTGATCACAAGATTTGGGTAGTGACCGAAAGAATGAGACACAAGTGGCTAAAACAAGTTTTCTCCACAGGCTGTCTGGGCTCTCCCTTAGAGATAGGGTGAGAAGCTTGGTCATCTGGAAGTGGCTCAGAGTAGATCTGCTGCTCCTCCAAATTGAGAGAAGCCAGTTGAGGTGGCTCGGGCATCTGATTGGGATTCCTCCCTGGTGAGGTTTTCTGGGCATGTCCAGCAGGGAGGAGACCCAAGGGAAGACCCAGGACACGCTGGATGGATTATGTGAATGCTACACTGCCCGTACCACCCCAAACTCACGCCATCCAGCCCGACCAAACCCTGACCATGCCGACACTAATGTGTAAGCGCTATATGTTTCTTGGCAGACCGGTGAACGCCTTGGCATTCCCCTGGAGGAGCTGGCCCAAGTGGCTGGGGAGAGGGATTGTGCTTTCCATTAGCAAGAATAATAAAATCATCATGACAGAAAATAACACTGAAAAGTTAAAAAGAAACTGACAGAGTGAGCAGTTACAGTGCAGAAAGTGCTGACCCAGCTACCACACTGTTTCCTAAGGATCTCAGAGGGCTGAGTGTATATACAGGAAGGAGATCTGACATGTATTCTAGCCCCATGCCATTGAGTGATTTATCAACTAGTAGAAGTACTTTGAAATTGATTAGGTAGATTACCGGTACCCAGTGCAGAGATTTAAGAACAGGAGTGATGTGCTCGGCTCTCTTGGTTCTTGTTAAGACTCTAGCAGCAACATTAAGCTGCAGTTGCTTCACAGCATTTTTGGGAAGACCGTTCAAAAGAGAGGTAAGTCTGGGCCTCTCTGCTTAGGCTGCTGCCCCCGAATCCCAATCCCGGATAAACGGATGATAATGGATTGATGCATAGAATGCTTGTTTTGTGGGTTTTTTTTGCAACTCTTCTAGATCCTCTAATTCGTTTTTTTTGGAGTAACTCGTAGGGCTCGTGATCGTGTCGTTATCACCGATGCGGCCTTTATGTTGGCAGCTTACGAATTCTTACAAGTTGCTACTGACAAATGCATGCTCGGACTCATTCTTGTGGTTTAATAATAATATATCTAATATCTAATATTCATTTGATCCCTTATATTATGCATCTATGGTAAATTGTTGCTGTGTTGTGGGGTTCAACATGTGATCGCCAGGGAAAATGGTGGAAAAACTTTTCACCTTTTTCTTGCTTGGAGGCATAACCATGGAGACCAAGCATCTAACAACAAAGTCTCGTTGGCTCGCAGCTGTAAGGTGACCAAACATCACCCTCTGGAGTATTTTCATTCTGGTAGGTTAAAGATGGTGTACATTTTTTTTATACATTGTGTCCTTTAACCGCAACACACACACAACATAGACATAGGCTACACCCACACACACATACCCATTGGCTAATGCAGGCGCACTGACACATGATACAACTTTTCCTGCTACACTTCTTCAATGACATGACAATTTTTATTGTTTTACTACAAAAACCAGCAAATGTAACGTTTACTTCTCATCCAGATGTTTACATCCGCTCACACCACAAACAAGATAGTTAAAAATGTCTGTAATGCAGAGCTGCGGCAGCAACAAGTTGCCGTTGGTGCTCTGTCTTGGGTCTTTCATATGGATCCAAACCATTAATTGATTTTGTCCATATACCGGTTTCCGACTTAACACATACTCATATATTCCGTATTATTTAGGGGATTTTAACATGTTTAACATGTCCATTCTCCCAAATCTGCTTCTTCTCTGCAACATACTGTTTGTTTTCATGGTTTGTTTACACTCATTAGGCCAGACACATCTGTGCACATCCCAGAATGCAATACATCATCACATGTGATCCCAAACACTTTTGCTTGTCTCATTTTTTACTTTTTTACATTTTACGGTGATTTTTTTGTACTGGCTGTTTTCTGACTTCCAGTTGGTTTGTTTGATCATCTTTAATGTTCTGTGTCTTTGCCTAATTTTGCATGTCTTTGTGGTAATTTTTTGTGCCAAGGCTTCAGACAAGCTGGGAAGCGAAGAGTCCCTCCAATTTAACACGTACTTTAATGTTTTTAGCTTTACTTTTAGCTGTTGTAGATTTCTGCTCCTCTAATTTTCTGGGTTTCAGGCTCTCCTGCTCGGTGGGCCCCTGGTCTCTCAGCTCGATGAGCCCCTGAGTGTCCTCCTCGATGCGGCCATGTTTTCTCCACCCGCTCGGCCCGGTCAGCTCCTCTCCGCCGGTTATCGTTGTTTACAGCGCAATGAGCACCGCCCCTCCCCCACCCGGCTTCTCCAGCTCCTCCTTCCGACAGCTAGCTGTAGCTGTCGCTGTAAAACCGACCACCGGTTGGGTTGGAGGAACCCCGAGCTCAAAGGTTTAGCTGGATGAACCTTCATCCAGAAACCTCAGAATCCGCCTCTATGGCTCGCTAACACGGTGGATATAACGAGGCGATGGACAGCCACCAAGAACCAAAGAGCTAGCAGAAGCTAGCTCCGGAAGAACCGGGGCGACGAGCTTCGAACTCAGCTGTTCCGCCTTCAAAAGTCGGATTTTGTGCCATGTCAACCGTTTACAAAAGCTAGGTTTGTACTTCTATTTAAACCAAAGAACGGCCTCTTTTAACAAATATATTGGTAACTGTTAAAGAAGTGATCGTTATGTGGGTCACAGCATCGATGGGATTTACTAGTTAGCTCGAACAGCTGGTTAGCATCAGATCTAGTTGAATATATCTAAAGGAGTTATATTGTCAGTGTTCGATTGTTAATGACCAATCTGCTGCTCATAAGGTGGATATTGTTACCAATGAGATACATTTATATTTTAGTTTATGTCCAATCGACTCGATTAGCTTGACTTTTAGCTTAGATAACCAGCAGCCTGCTATGAACAAAGGTAACTTAAATCGCTGGTTCCTGTTCAGCTAAGTAGCTTTAACTATTCTACCATGTACATTGTGGTGTTCAATAGTTATATTTTTGCCTTAGTTTGCGATTTTTCTGTCGTTTGCAAACGCATCACGGCTCGGTTCGGTCTGGCTTCACTTCAGAATCTTACAAACGTTTTTTTTTTTATCTACCTTTTAATCTGGTGACAACTCTCTCCAGGCTGGGTTGTGGTCATTTTAAACCGGCAATTAGCTGTAATTAATGCTAGGATTATTAAAATTGATAACATGAGAACATTTTTAAGCTAACGGAGGTTCTCCAGTATCTGGGTCACATCATTTAATGTTACACCTGCTGCTGTAAAGCTTTGCAGTTTTTTTCCATCCCGGCATTGCTATTTACAGTGGTGACATAACTTGTCAAAAGCGCAACAGTTCCTTGTATTTTTATATTTTACATATTTTACATAAAAACACATCAATGATTACCACCAGAAAACAACTAGAGACTCAGGCCTCAGGTCGACCACCATGCATGTTATACAAGTGCTGAACAGTGTTGATCTAAAACCTCACACGCTGCTTAAATCTGTTTCGTGTGTAAGACCATGATGTTTTTAGGATTTTTGTTTGACATATTCGTGGAACACAAAATAAACGCATTCTGATTCAGATGCTAAAGTAAATTGGAGACATATTCTTTGGGGCTGTACAATATAACGTGTCACCACAGTACCAATGTGGGTAATGTCAATATTTACAAATTTGCTAAGAATTCATGAAATAATCAAGCTCCACATCTCTGTAAATAATTTGGGCGTATCTAATGGGTTCACTACGATTCTGAAGCATGTAGCGTGTGCTGTGTGTATCATGATGACAGAACAGGAAGAGAGGAGTGATGGATGTCATTACAATAATCAACAATGTTTGCTCATGTTTTTCTGTTATCATGCAACTATTCTGTTTTTATTTTATCTGCAGGAAGCTGATGGATGATGCTGAGTGAGGAGTTCCTCCGTGCCTAAACGGGAGCAGCAGCAGCTCAGTCCAGCTCCCATACAGTGGAGTGTTTCTGGGTTCTGTGAGAGGAGGATGGCATTTCACGGTGCTGGCCAGCAGACCGTTTGTGGAGATTTGTTTCCAGGCTCTGAGCTGGGCCACAAGTATTTCTGCGTGGGTTCCACCTGCGGAGCTCCCTCCACTGGCCTCAGTGCTACACCGTGCTTGACTGGACCCACTGCCCCAGCTGGAACCCCCCGTCACCCCACAGCACTTGGAGGAAGCACCGGCGGGGGAGCGGCGGTGCCTCAGCCCTACAGCAACCCAGCCAGTGAGGTGCCCAGCCCTGCAGAGATGGAGCCAGACCGACCCATCGGTTATGGTGCCTTTGGGGTTGTTTGGTAAATATAGTTAAAACAGTTAAAACTTCTGTGAATTTTATAACCACTCATTTATTCTAGAAAGATTTCAAAAAGTCAGTAATTGATTTGGAAACATCAGGAATGTGTCACAGTCAACAAACTCAGAAAATAAAGGGCAACTAAATCAGATGGGTTTTAATATCCTACTAAAAATGTCAAAGGGAAATAGAAAAACATTGTGCAACTTTGTGTGAGGAAAAACACGACATTCATGAAAGGAGTTATTTATCCACGTCCTAAAGTAGCACGATTATTGTGTGTCTTAATGAGCTGAACTGACAGCACTTTTCTGTGTTTGTGGGTCATTTTTTTGGCTTCTGGTTTGAGGTGAAGAACTGAAGGTTGTGATGATTGCCAGAGTGTCATCAGACCAAGCAAAGAAGAAATCAGCTCTATGAACTGTCAACAGAACTGTTGCAATGTCGGTGCACGGAGATAAACTGAAGATAAGAATTCCTGACAACGTCTAGAATGGCAGCTTGCTTTAGTCGGGTCACCTGAATTTGCTTTGACCCCCTGACGTTGCAAAAGAACTTATCTCACATGCACTTAAAAGAAAAGGTTTATTTGTTAGAAGATGGTTTAGCACAGGGGTTCTCAATCCTGGTCCTGGAGGGCCTGTATCCTGCATGTTTTTGTTGTTTCTCTGCTCAAACACTTGATTCAGTGGTTGAACCACCTGTTCAGCAATTCACCGAGCTCTGCTGAAGCCTGTTAATCACCTGCTGATTAACATCTGGTGTGTTGGAGCAGGGAAACAACAAAAACACGCAGGATACCTACCTGTCCTCCAGGATTTCTGGTTTAGGACTAGCATTAGTCATCGTTGGGCACATATTATTGAGCATAATAGGCTTTAAAATCTACAACAATTCCAACTAAAGATGGGTAAAGATACGAAACCAATATTTTCTTTAAATATGTAGAACGTGTAGAGCATTGTAGATTGTGTTTGTGATTGAAGCGAGTAGCTATATAACTCAGGAAACGCTTCTTCTGCAGGTCGGTCACCGATCCTCGGGACGGTCGGAAGGTGGCTCTGAAGAAGATGCCAAACGTCTTCCAGAATCTGGTTTCCTGCAAGAGGGTCTTCAGAGAGCTGAGGATGCTGTGCTTCTTCAAACATGACAATGTAGTGGCCAGAAAACATCTGAGGTGCAACGTTTAGGTGCTGATAAGTGGCTGAGTGTGTGTTTTGTTTGTTTTTTGTTCCTCTGCAGGTTTTGTCAGCTCTGGACATTTTGCAGCCTCCACAGATTGACTGCTTTGAGGAGATGTATCCTTTCATATAAGGAACCAGAATCGGGTCCAAGTCCTTCCGACCCACTGCTTCTGTTTAATTCCTCGCCGTGTCTGTCCCAGTTTCTCCTCGTTAACTGCGCTCGTTTACTTCTCTATTTAGCCGCTGCTTTTTGGTCCGTGTCCAGCTCACTGCTGCAGATGTGCAGCTGGATGCTGGTGTGTCTTTAATGAGAGCGGATGTTATGTTTGGCTTTATTTCTCGTGATTCTGTTCCGAACATAAGAACCTTTGCTCAGAGCTGGGTCGTGCTCGTGTAGGCGGAGGTCGATTCATGTGTGAGCGTTTGTTATTTTTTTCTTTGACATCCACCCGCCTCGCAGCTACGTGATCACGGAGCTGATGCAGAGCGACCTCCACAAAGTCATCGTGTCTCCTCAGCCTCTCACCACCGACCACATCAAGGTCTTCCTGTATCAGATCCTCCGAGGTGAGTGAATCCTTTTGGTCAGGTTTTCTGATTCCAGACAGTTTAACTTGACCAGTTATCTCATTTGGTGGATTGTTTTTTTCATTTCTCAAGGGGGAACCTTTTTGTAAGTGATTATTACCCGAACTAGTTATCTTTAACAGCACCACACATTAGGTGCATGATTTATGGGTTTCCCCCCATAAAACTGCATGATACACAGCTTCTGAGATAAACAAACACCATGTATCTGAAGTATAATCAGTGTTAGTCCAGCTCAGGCTTCAGAAACTTCTGGGATTTTAAAAGAAACTTTTGTTTTTGTTACCAAACCTCAGACGTTCACTGTGAAATGTGTATGATTTGTCCTTTTTTATATTAAATATGACAATCTACAGCGGTGAGTTTCACATGCAGGCTGTACATTAAAACAGTCTTCTACCCCTATTTCCGGCATTAGCTGCTGATAGAAACGCTCAAGCCAGTAAATGCCTCACAGGTCTATGTCACATTGTAAATTACGAGGGATGTCTTGATTCGATTCCGATTCTTGGGGTGCTGATTCGATTCAGAATCGATTCTCAATTTAAATCGATTCACAATCAGTATTAACAAAAAGTGTCGGCTCCAGGATGAACTACTTTGTTGTACAAGTTAGTTAAAGCTATGGGACATTTTTATTAGACTTTAAACTGGTCGTGCTCCAAAAATGCTAATTTACTATGTAAAATAAAGTGATTCTAAAACTGTAAACAGAAACAATCTTTTGACCAAAAGGTAACATTTATTTTTCTTACCTTGTAAAATATAACAAATCTGTAGTTACCTAACAGTAGCTTTGAAAGTAATACGGTCAAATACTTTTCAAGTATGTGTAGAAACAAGTTACATGAGTAATCCTGAGTACTCATTCATCAACTTAGAAAAAAAATATGAGAATATCTCAAATTTCTGAGTATGGAAAAAATGACATCCGAGTGCCCTCTTATCAGCAGATTCAAACATAAATCATCTCAATTTATGGGACCACAAAAGTAATCGGAGTACTGACTCTCCTAACAAAGATCAAGAAAGTGCATCTCAAACCTGTAACATGCCAAATATTTGAGTTCTTGGAATCGATTCTGAACCTTTGTGAATCGATTCTGAACCTTTGTGAATCGATTCTGAACCTTTATAAATAAGAATCCCGATTCGACCGGAAAAAGGCGGCCTGCCAACTCCGGGTCGGGGTAGAGGTCCTACCGCAAGTGGAGGAGGTTAAGTATCTCGGGGTCTTGTTCACGAGGGAGGGTAGGAGTGATCAGGCGGATTGGTTCGGCGTCTGCAGTGATGCGGACGCTGAGCCGATCTGTCGTGGTGAAGAGGGAGCTGAGCCAGAAAGCCAGGCTCTCGATTTACCGGTCGATCTACGTCCCAATCCTCACCTATGGTCATGAGCTTTGGGTAATGACCGAAAGAACGAGATCGCAGATACAAGCGGCCGAAATGAGTTTCTTCCGTAGGGTGGCCGGGCTCAGCCTTAGAGATAGGGTGAGGAGCTCGGACATTCGGGAGGGACTCGGAGTAGAACCGCTGCTCCTCCGGATCGAAAGGAGTCAGTTGAGGTGGTTTGGGCATCTGGTCAGGATGCCTCCTGGACGCCTCCCTGGGGAGGTGTTTCGGGCATGTCCTGCCAGCAGGAGGCCCCCGGGTCGACCCAGGACACGTTGGAGAGGTTACATCTCCAATCTGGTCCGGGAACGCCTTGGGGTCCTGCCGGAGGAGCTGGTGGAGGTAGCCGGGGAGAGGACGGTCTGGAGCTCCCTAGTTGGGATGCTGCCCCCGCGACCCGGACCCGGATAAGCGGAGGAAGACGTCGACGATTCAGACTTGAATCGATTTTTTTCAGCACCTCTATAAATTAATATTCATGACTCGCTCATCTCGGCGGGGAAGGCTGTTGTTGACTTTTGCAGCCATGAGAGCAGAGTACACTTCCGCCCAGTAGAAGCTAACCATTAGCATTAGCAACATTCCAACACAGCAGAACTCCTCCAGGCTATTGTTATTTGTGAAGATGAAACATCGCTGTTGCAGATCAAACAGAGTCTGCTGAACAGTCATACTGCTGTTAGCCAATCAGAGGCACTATGTTTAAATATCATGAATACTCGTCCAATTACCTTCTACTTCCTGAAACAGGAGCATCAGTTTTTTCCCTACAGAAACAACTCGCGAGGCATTCGTTAATACTAGAGACCGCAGCAGATTTACTGAAATGACCTGTATAAACTCTACATAAACATTTAGACAGGTCCTCGTGAGATTGTCATTCGTTGGCATACAATGGCTATTTCAGTAGATGATATGAGTGAACTTCACCTGATGGAAGATCTGCTTCTGCTCGGTTTCCTCGTTTAGGTTTAAAGTACCTGCATTCTGCTGGGATCCTGCACAGAGACATCAAACCTGGAAACCTGCTGGTCAACAGTAACTGTCTACTGAAGGTGATGAAAATGCAGACGTCTTTGTGGTTTATGAATGATCTTTATTTGTCACCACAGAAATGTTGCTCCTTATGAGTTATTGGGGTCGTGTTTTTATCAAAGTTCTGGACCTTCTTATTTTAACGTCAAACGGCTCGACATCGTACACAAAACGACTCCTACACATTGTTCTGTGTTTGGTTAGATTTGTGACTTTGGCTTGGCTCGTGTGGAGGAGCCTGACCCATCACGTCACATGACCCAGGAGGTGGTGACTCAGTACTACAGAGCACCAGAGGTTCTGATGGGCTGCCGGCACTATGGCTCGGCCATCGATGTCTGGTCGGTGGGCTGCATCTTCGCAGAGCTGCTGGGAAGACGCATCCTGTTCCAGGCTCAGAGCCCCATTCAGCAGGTGAGGGATGCACCCATCCTGGGCTTAAAGTCTGGTACCACGCCGACTGCAGATGCAAACAGTAATGGTGCATTTACAGACTTATGAAAACGGTGGTTTCTTTGCATATTGGCAATTATGTGTTCAGATATAAAAACAAATTTCACCAATTTAGCTGATTATGGTGAAAATAGGCCAAATCCAATCAACAGCTGATTTTTATTGTACTTTTTTTTAATTCAGTTTGATCAAAATTATCTTTTTTTTTATTATCTTAGTTTTATTATTTTCTTCTGACGGTTCCTCAACTCAAGGGATAAACCAGAGTTAACAGGAGCTCTGTCTCCCTCCCTCCCTCCCTAAATATTATCCAGCCAGCCGCTACAAGAGGCGTTTTGGTTCGTAAACGGGAACGCCCCCTTCTTCCTATTCGCTCCTGAAATGTTACCTCACCTCCGATATTTCAAAATAAGATATTTCCTCCACTCATCTACCTATTCGCCGTCCTTTTTATACAGTTATTGATCTGTGCTCACCCTGCCCTTTCTCTTTGTGTTGCCGGTTCGGCGTGAACGCGCTCCACGCTCTCTGAACCCGAACCGGCGTTTAAGTCCCGCCCCCTGCTTTATCCACAATTTATACAAATATTAAACCTGAAACGGGACACAGACTTTTCTCCTCTACTTTGCACGGTCTCTCATAAGAAGCTCACCCAAAGCGCCGCAGCTAGACAGGAAGAAGCCAGTGGCTTTTCAAAATAAAGTAGAATTGAAACGTTTCGTGATGTTTAAATAATTTCAAACTACGATTATGGTTAGTGTAAGTGTGCAAACACGGGCTATGTATTTTACACTTTACATTGTTTTACAATAGTGCAACAAGTTACGATTTGTTATGGTTGGACTTTTATGTTGAAGGAGGTGTTCTTGGCCAGTTGTGTGGAGAGTTCCGGTTTGGTTGTTTAGTGACTGAGTTAAGGCGTGGTCTGCGGCCAACAGTAACCCGGAATAAAGATCCGAAATGGAAAGAACAAGTTGGAGTCATAAAAATATCTTTAAAAAATCAACAAAAATGTATTGTGAGGCGGCTTTTATTTTGCCGTGGCGGTACGACACAGTCGGTTAGTGCAGACTTTTACTTTGACTGGGAAAATGACGTATTTTGATGCCCATTCTGATTGGTTAGTGAAAAGCTACAGTAACCCCCATTAAGGCGTTTCTGTCGCCCGAGCAGAAACACCTGATTTTATCCGTGGGTGATTGACAGACTTCTGCAGAGCTTGATGAGCTGCTGAAGTGATAATTAAGCCACTGAATCAGGGAAACAGCTAAAACATGCTGGACAGTGGCCCTCGAGGACCAGGCTTGGACTCAATTTTGATTTATTTCAGCTTCTGTTCTTCTGTAAGACGTGTAGTTTTTGACAGTTTTGGTATAAAATGCACAATGTGACGGTTATCTATTGCAAAATGAAAAGAGACACAAGTGCCCATTTTTACTATGAAGAAATATGTGATCAAGTTTTTATATGAAGCTGTTTCTAAAGTAAAACCAAATTAAGTATATTTAGAGAATTATGGCTTAGAGAAGAGGAACGTTTGCATTTTCTTACACAACCAGAAGCTGCTGCTCACTGATGTTTGTTCCTGTTGGCTTCAGTTGGATCTGATCACAGACCTGCTGGGAACACCGCCTCAGTTGGCTCTGACGTCGGCCTGTGAAGGAGCCCGAGCCCACATCCTGAGGGGGCCTCACAAACCGGTACGTTAGCAGCACCCTCACGTGTGTTCAGGTGTCGTTTTCATCTCTTACACACAGGTTTTCTTCCACGGCTGCAGGAATGTGCTCTTTTTGTGTTGAACACATCTGTCACCCTGCAGTCTACCTCCCTCTCAGTCAGTAACTCAACTGATCAGACTAGAGCTGCTCATCGGCCTTTTCTGTTTTGCATCACTGACCTCTTAACAAACACCTCCTAGGCTGTAGTTCTCCTGTCTGATTACTTTTTTCCCTGAAATCTAAACTCCTGCAGCAGCACAGTGGTTTTCTGTGGAGCACAGCTGTGTGTGTGTGTCAAATATGCAAGAAATTACAAGAAATTCACCAATTTATGTTTATAAATGCAGCATTTTTTTCCGCTATATATTTCTATACATTTTTTTTAACTTCATCTTAAACACAGCTGTCACATTTACACTCGAGGTACTCTGATCACTGATAACCGGTCACCCCGAGGGCCGATAGCCGATACAGATCACATGGATTGGCTGTTTATGTAGTCATGAGTGCTGCTGGCTACATGATCTGGGGGGAAAAGCACCATAACCTTGCCTTAACTTAGACAAAAACACGTTTTAACTTTACCTTTTGAAGAGAAACTTTCAGCACAATCAGTGTTTGCTCCTGGAAACAACTGCTAAGCCTTCTGCTGCCAACCCGAGTCCTAGAACCGAAGAAGCTTCTTGGAGAGAGATGAAACCAGAAAAGTCTAAATGTTTTCAAAACTTTCAAGTTTTAAAAATATTTATACAGAATTAGATTTGATTAGCTGTCCTTGTTCGTTCGTTTGTTTGTTCATTCATTCATTTTTTCATTCGTTCATTTGTACATACGTACGTTCGTTCATTCGTTCATTCATTTGTTCGTTCTTTCGTTCATTTGTTCGTTCGTTCGTTTGTTCGTTCATTTGTTCGTTCATTTGTTCGTTCGTTCGTTTGTTCGTTCATTTGTTCGTTCATTCGTTCATTTGTTCGTTCATTCGTTTGTTCGTTCATTTGTTCGTTCGTTCATTCATTTGTTCGTTCATTCATTTGTTCATTCATTCGTACGTACGTTCGTTCTTTTGTTCATTCATTCATTCATTCATTCAGCTCTTTAGATTTTTTTTTAACATTTATGATCTGGGTAAGGTGAGTGTATTGGTTAAACTCTCACTAGCTGGGTTTGTCTCAGACAGGTACTGGATTGGCGTCTGATCTAAGCTTTTCTTGACTGATTGCGGAGTTTTTGTCTGATTTTGGATAAAATCTCAGTTTTGTTTGATATCTTGTTTGGTTCCCCAGCCGTCGCTGTCGGTCCTCTACATGCTGTCGGACGGAGCCACACACGAAGCCGTGCACCTTCTCTGTCGTATGCTGGTCTTTGATCCGGTGAGAGGACGTCTCCAGATGGTGTCAATGATCCACTCTGAGATTTTTGAGAACATCTGGTTTTCTGCATCTGGCGGATCCAGTAAAAGCTTTCTGATTTCCAGGCTAAAAGGATTTCCGGCAGCGACGCGCTGTCCCACCCGTACCTGGACGAAGGGCGGCTGCGTTACCACACCTGCATGTGTCAGTGCTGCTATTCCGTTCCCAGCGGTCGAGTTTACACCCGCGACTTTGAGCCGGTAGCAGAGCGACCATTCAGCCACAGCTACGAGAACAGCCTGCTGTCTGTGTGGCAGGGAAAAGGTGAGGGTTGATGATGGTTTATCTACACTGCTGGTTATTTGTTAGGATGGAAATCTAAAGTTTAGAAACATAAATCTGGACTAAACACAAACATTTGAAATGTGCGTTCTTACCATTTGAGAGACGAACTTATGACTGTTTAAATTTCAGAGTTGATCCATCGCTTCATCACAGAGCATCAGCAGGGCAAACGGGTGCCGCTGTGCATCAACCCGCAGAGCGCCGCCTTCAAGACCTTCATCAGGTCAGACAGTTGGAAGTCTGTTTATTTTACCCATCAGAGAGAAATAACCTCTAATGAAAGCAGAGCTTTGTGTCTCCATCGTGTGTGAAGGTCAGTAAAACCTGAACTCTTCTTGTTTGTCCTCAGATCCACCGCATGGCACTCCTCCAAGGTCTCCAGGAAGGAGGAGAGATGAGCACTTCTCTTCATCACCAGGAACGATGGCACTCCCAACCGGATTCATCTGGAACACTTTTTTCTTCTTTTCTTCTTCTTCGTCTGGAGGGAATCGACACTCCTCAAATACTTCATAAATCTTCGGTCCACAAAGTTCCCTAAAGTTCAGACCTCGGACCACCAGAGCACGTGATCCTCAAAGCGTTTTGGTGCTGAATTAATGAAACATGCTGCTGAAGGAGGAAGGGGGGGGGACTGAACCCTGTACTAGATGTAGTTTTCCCGTGCATGTGGAACCTTTAGGGTAGATCTGGTTTAGGTCACTCCTGCCCTGAGGGAACAATCCACCATCACTCCGCTCCAACAGGATTCATGTGACATCACGTGTCGCCAAATGCCGCCAAGCGTTTTATTTTTTTTATGCTTTTTGAACACATCACCCACTGTTTTTGTCTCGTGGCGTCTTTGGGCGTCGCCATGGCAACACTAATGCAACTTTAACAGATGTAGCAGGTTTAACCAACACGTTTGTCCTTTTTACTTATCCCTCTGGGGAAAACTCGTGAGTCGACTGATCCTGGATCAGCTCCACATCAGCATCTGTGTCATTGGGAGTTAGTTTTGTCATCAGGCGGTTTTATTTTTGAAATTAATGACAGGAACTCGTTGTTTTGTGAGAAGATCTCACACATTTATCATCACATCATGTCGTCGCCTCCCACTTTCTTGCCGTCTTGAGTCCTCTGAACCTGCTGCCACAGGGAGGGGTTCTTGTTAAGTTATTTGGTGTTCCACCCATTATTTGTTTTCTCTGTGATCGCCTCAGTTACCTCAAATCTTTTGAAGAAAATCGAGCTGAAATCCCGAAGGACGTTCAAACCCGAACTGAAAGTACGTCCCGTCATTCCTCCTGTTTTACCTCGCAGCTCCTCTATTGGTTCTGAGGGATGGAAGCTGTTGGTAAAATGCTGCTGTTTTAGTTTCCTGTGTAGTTTCTGGCTCAGGTGTCCTGTTGATGATGATGATGATGATGATGATGATGATGGTGGACCATCAAAAGACACAAGGACGCACTGATTCACATGAACAGGATTCACCTGGAATAAGATTTTACAAGGTCCCGAGTCCCGGAAAATGTTCCCGATGTTCTAAAGGTTCCTCTGCGTCTCCGTTTCCGCTGCGGTCGAGTCCTTTTTAAAGAGGAGGTTATGACCTTTAACCCCAGCTTTTAACGTCCTGCTTTCATCTCAGTTCCTCTCTTCAAACTCTGAAATGTTTCTGCAGCTGCTGAAATATTCATCCAGCAAACAGGAACTGTTTTCTAAAGTTGAGGAGGCGATTCTCTCCGTTTGAAGTTCTGACAAACGGTCCAAAAGAGACAAACGAGGCGAAGCTTGATTTTCACTTCTGGAAAACTATTTTAGCAAGAAAATCATTTAATTAAAGCTTTTAATTTAATACTCCTAGTTTTCTGTTTCAACAGACTCCTGCTGTTGAACTCTAACCAGTTCTTCAAAAAGGCCAGTTTATGTCCTGGTAGGTTAAAAAACATGGGTCTGTGTCGGATTTCTCAGTTCAGCTCTAACCGAGCGACGAGGAGCCGGTGCAGAACCAGAACCAGGGATCAGCGTTCCTCTGGCTTTAGTCTCGTCTGCAGCAGGTGCTGCTCAGAGCCAGAGCTGTTGGACCAGACGTTTCTGAGTCAGCAGGCGTCGTTTACAGTATAAAAACGGGCCGAGGCGGCGGTGGAAACCGGAGTCTCTGGAGGAACCTGCAGATCCTGGATCAGCTGCTCTGTGAGGAGAAGCTACAGCCTCAGATGTGTTAGTACTCCTCTCAGCCTCCTGTAGTGAAACCTCAGCTCGCCCTGTTCAGGATGGCGGCACGTCTCCGTGACGACAGAGACGCACTTGTATATCTGCATGTGTATATTTATTACCCCGTGGAGAGCATTTGGGTTTGAATGCTGTGCAATGGTTGAGTTTGTTGACAGAAGCTTTGTGGTTTAATTTAATTCATCTTAGGAGGTGATTTTCTTATTGGGTTTGTTTTTGTTGTGATAATTAGTTTTTTAATTCCTTTGGAGTCGGGACAATGTCGTAACGGTTCCCTAAAGACTTCTGCAGCACTGAAGTTTAACGATTGTTTTAGAAACACGTTGATGCTCACTGGTTTTATTCGTGTCCTCGAGTGACTGAATCAAATCTCTCAGGTGACTTTTAGACGTGATGGCGTTTTCATTCTGGTCGGGGGGGAAAACGCTTTAACGTTCCCTTCTTTACGAATATTTATTTCTCCTTCCTCCTTAAATCAGCGTGAAGCTGAATCTTCATCAAGTTCAAGTAGAGCTGATGGGTTCATCTTTTATTTTTTGCGCATTTTTAAGAGTTCCTAGAAAAACGAGCTGCCTCCGTTAAACTGCTGGATGGTTCTGGTTTTATTCAGAAATGGAAAAGCAATAACTCTACTTCTACACGACAACCCGAACATTTAGGACGTGTTTGTAGCTGCTGCGCGTTAAAATCTGATTTTCTCCATAAAATATGACAAAAGTTTCATTCCACAACAAAAGCGGCTCAGGAACTGGACGGAGGATCAGTGAGACGGGTGTTTGGGTCAGATTGATCACGTGAGACACGTTAGAGTTTTCCGGGGGCCGTTACGGGAGCGTTTCCCGCTCCGTCGTCGTTAGTGAGGTCCTTCCAGGTTAGCAGCCGTTCTGAACTAGATGACCCGTGTTTTGGTCTTTTCCTCCCGTGCACTCTGTTCTGAGATCAGCCGCCGGGCGTCTCTGCGTAGAGATTAGATTGTTTCCTTCTATGAAAAGAAACTCGATGTGTTAATTATTATAAATATGAAACTGATGTTTTAAACAGATGTTTTGTCGTTGTTTTAGCTAAAAGATTTTTTTTTCTGTTTTGTTTCTATTTTGACTTGTGTTCCCAACAAATACTTGAATTTCTTAAAAAAATGTTTAGAGTCAAAGTAGTGAATGACCGTAAATAAATAAATGGACACTGGATAATAATCCTCGGATGTCTCCAGTTTCATCTGAGTGGGATTAAGATTCAGATTAGACCTTTTTGTGGCTCAGTTTTGTTTTTCTTTTGGTTTCTTTCCATCATGAACAGTTTTCTGACGTTTTTTCTATCGGAGGTCCTTTCTGGTTACGGCGGCTGGAGGACGAAGAGCCTTTCAGGTTCTGGTTTGGATCTTTGGTGGGTTTGTTCTGTTTTCCGACTTTCGTTCTGTTTATCTGCTGCAGCTTTTAAGGTTGGAAAACGTCTTATTCTCCCCCCAAATGCCATTTCTGGTATTTTCCGTGGACTGAAGAGGAGGACCATCTTTGGGTCAGACCTCTGAGGCCGATTCACATTCAGGAAGTTTCTTGGTAAACCGCCTCAGCTCTCAGCCTCCTCTTCCTCCTCCTCACACATTAACACACCTCCTGTCACAGGTGGCTGCAGGATGCTCCGCCCCTCTGATCCTCATCTCTAAACCCCTACAAACCTGCACACACACATACACACACACTCAGGGATGCTGGGCCTCCTGGCTGCTGGATCGGTCTTCTTTCCTGGACTCTTCTTCGTGTCCAAACAGACACTGAAGCTTCTGGTGGGATGGAGCGAAGCCGATGCTGTGGTTGTATCTACACGGTAACACACACACACACACACACACACACACACACACACACACACACACGTGTTCATACTAAACTGATGACACACTTGTTTGTTGTTTAATGAGAGCAGATTTCTGATCCTAAAGATGAAATAAACTTTTTTTTGTTCTGGTTGTTTATTTATTTATTTATGCGTGAGCATCCTGACAGTCAGCTGTTGGTATTTCCATGTTGTTTTTGTGTTTTTTGTGATCATCCTATCCATCTGCATTTGTGTATTTTTTTTCTCAGAGCTTTATTATTTATTTTGTAATGATTGAACTTATTTGTAGTTTTGTTTGTGATTTTCTGCTCATCTATGGTTCTGACAGAGGCAGAGCAATAGTTCTGTGTAAACGGCATGAAGATGGACCTTTATGTGACCGTGTATCTTCCTAAAGTTCAGACTGAATGTCGGGTTTGTTTTCTTCAGCCTGGTGTCGTCTCTGCAGGCCGTCTTGGCCTCATCAGCTGGATGCATCATTGCCTCGTCCTGCGGGGACATAATGGAGGACAGGTGAAGACCACATCCTGCATTTTCTCTTCATTCATTTAACGTTTATTTTTTAATCCCCAGTCTGATTTAAAATGCCTCTTTAAAAGATTTCATATCAATTTGATTCTATTTTTAATTCTCACCAGGGCTGCTTCTCTCTAATGTATAAAAATATTTTTGTTGAAATTTTGCAGACGCACTTTCTCACTCAGTTTGAGCAGCATTCGCTGTCACCCAGTAATCTAATTACTAATCTGAGATTAACTTGAACTATCCTGAGCTATTTCAGTCCTTCTGTAATCATCCCTGCAGAGCATGATGGGAGGAGTGATGGGAGGAGCGATGAAGGGTGGTTTCCTCATTTACCAGTCAAAGTGGAGCAAAGGCCTGAGCCACATTTGTTTATCAAATCCCAACCGGATCCTCATTCATTCACCTGCAGCAAAAACCAGCCGAAAGGCTCAGTTTTCAACAGACAATCATGTTTTTTTGTTACCAAATTAGGTGAAAAAAAAAAGGAAAAAACTGCTCAAAGGCATCAACATTGCAGGTTTTTTATTTTGTACAGACAAATCAAATATTTTCAGCTTTACAACGTTTATTAGACTCATTTTCACACTTTGGATCATGATGTCGTTTTAAATCACATTTGTTTGGATTCCCGCTGTAAGTTGAACTCATTTCTGATACAAGTGGGACCAACGATCCTCTCGGGCTGTCGCCAGCAGGAATGTTGTGTTCTGCTGCTGAACGACGGCCTCAGCTGCCTGTAAGCTGCTGGAGATCGCTTTACCAAATATGGAAAACAGAAATATAGACGGATGAAAAAGGCAAACGACTTTATCTGTGGCTTCGTTTAAGCAGCCACTGTGCTGTTTCTGTCTTCTCAAAGCCAGTCATGGTTTATGGTCACAAGAGGATTCTAGATTTCTTTATAAAGTTCTTTATAAAATTTTGACCTGAACATTTGGAGTCCTTTTGAGGACTCTTATTAAAACTGTTGCTTTGAGAGGCTCCGCCTCCTCCTTTAAGGTGCTTAGATCCTGTTGATGTATTTAAAAGCAGTTAAACGTTTCTTTACAAAGTAGCCTCGTGAATTTGATGGACTGCGTCTCCCGTGTCGCACCTCCGTCTTCCTGTAATGAAGCAAACGTGCTGCAAAGTCAAAAACCCTCCTCTTCTGCACCCCAGACACCCGCTGACGGAGGCATACATCTTGTTTGCCACACCTTACTTCCTCTACGACATCTATGCCATGTTCCTGTGTCACTGGCACAAGCTACAGGTCAAAGGTCATCAGGAGACACACAGCGGTGGCTTGAAGGCTGCGGTGCCCAGCTACCTGCGCAGAGAGCTTCTGATGGTGCTGCATCACATCTTCATGGTGGCCTTCTGCTTCCCTGCTTCCCTGGTAACTATGGCAACGCAGAAGCTGACAGTGACATTTCCTTTGGGTAAAGCTCAGGAAAACTAAATCTGAAAGAAAAATGATCTAGTCTGCTGTTTTAAAGTCCTTGAATCGAACCAGTTCCTGATCTAGGTTCTTTAAAACGGATTTCTGAGCGACTTCAGACCCAAGAGAGTCCATCAGGTTAAAAAACCTGTTCTGAACAAAAGTTTAAAACCAACAGGAAGGGCAAGTTCTGGACTTGGTAAATAACGTGTGACTACAAATGAACACAGTTCTACTAAATCTGGAGCAAGAATCAAACCTTCAACCACAGAACACTGAAGCCTCATCCTGGGACGGTCGGGTCTGAGTCGGTTCTAAACCAGTTTCCTGTTTCTCAGCTGTGGCGCCGAGGGAAAGGAGATTACTTCCAGGGAGTTTTGTTTCTGGCTGAGCTCAGCACGCCGTCCGTCTGTCTGGGAAAAGTGTTGATCCAGGTAATCCACCAAGTAATCAGATTACTTCCCACAGGACATAAACCAGTCCTGCTGACATGGTTTCACTTTTAGAAGCAGCTTTATTATGTTTCCCAGCAAATTCTGCCTCTTTCTCTTAACGTTACTCATGGTTTATATTTGTTATTATGTAATTAAAATGATCAGCGTCTCCTTCTTTGGCTACTTTCGCTCCCTTGTGTAGAGTTTAGGTGTTCTGATCAGTCGAGCAGCCAGACTTTAGTACTTGGCTCCAAAAGTCTTTTGGTTCTTTCGGACAAAACTACACTTTACCGTCCTACCTGCTGTCATGTCTTTAGCCCCCTGGAGGCGGGAACGTTAAACCCTACCTGGTTACTCCACACACGTGTTTCATGAGCATGTTTTATCTCAGAAGTACCTCTGAAGGACTTAGTTGTTTGTCCTTTTAACAAAACTTATTTTGAGCCTGAGAGGATTAGTAGAGGGGTTTGTCCTACAATTATTTGATTACGAAATGACCTTTGACCCCAATGGTGTCCCCAGGTCATTTTCATAGGGGTGGTCAGATAGAGAAAATGTTGGGGGTGGCACACCAGATTGGTCCATGTAGTTACTCCAGGAGGGTTTCGCCTGTGGCGGTGCGTCGGATGCTTCTTCAAATTTGAAGAACACATTATTTTTAAGACATTTCAAACAGTAGTTTGGAACGTTATTTTTAAATTTAAAACAATAGACTTAAACTTTTGTTTTGAAAATGGCGAGCAGAAGAAATTTATACTTTACATATATCAGATTACTTATGTACTCTTTAATTGAATATTTTTTATTGGGTTTTACGTTTATGCCTGATTAATTATTATGAACTAATAGCTTGTGTGAACATAAACCCGTCGGTGCAGGATCGGCTCGGGGTCCAGCGCCCGCCGATGACGTCACATGACTGCAAACCTACTCAGCTTTCACACACACGTTTGAGAAAGACATCAGCAGTGTTGTTAATAAATTCTTGTTTGTTAACACCTAAATGTTTTCTTTATAATTGTAATTTGTTAATAAAACTCCATATTATCTTTGTTTTGTAAAGAATGTAAAACTGCATAAAACCAACATCGGACTGACAAAGACAACAGTTCTTATATGTGAAGCCACATCTGTTTGTATTAATGTGGAGTTCATCTGGTTATTTCCTTAGTTATGTAAATACGTTCTTTGATCCAAAATATTGCTTGGTGTCTTTCAGTAAAGTTCTTATATTTTATTTTGCCCCATTTCATCAACATCAAGAGCTTTTGAGGGTCACCGTTTATCATTTGCTTATATTTTACATTTCCTTTAGAAATGCAAACATATTTTCTCCAAAAAGTGTTGATTTTTGGACTACAGGACTACAACCGCTAAGACTATGACCACAAATTTGTTCTGACCAATCAAAATCATAACGTGATAACGCCACTTCCGTAAGCTTCATGTTCAGACAATCAACTACTTTGGCGTCATCTGCAGTCGCAGGACCCCGAGCCGATCCTGCACCGACACCGCTGACTGCCAGCGTTTTTGAGCGTTTTTACTGTTTTTGAAGAGACACAGAACATTGTGCTCCATAATCATGTAAACACCTACACTACAAGAAGAGTAGACCCGCTTCTTACATCAGGAAGAATCAGCGCGTTTCTAGCTTCCTCTGTTCTTTCACAATCCGCTGTCGAAGCGCGAGCTGCAGGAGCTTTTCTGGTCGGAGCCTCGCTTTTTTCCACAGCAGCGTTCCCAAAATGATCTAATTCATGGATTTTCTGCTTCCTGATCACGTGACGTGTGACACATGGGTGAAGATCAGCTTTAAAGCTGTTGTAATACCAATGCCCTGTACACTGGCACTACTGGTTACTGAGACGGTCGGTAGTCTTTATATGCGTTTAAAAGAATTGCAGCTTGTGTTTATTTCTGATGTTTATTAATTTGTCTTCTTCCACAAAGTCCATGATCCACTCACTGCAGTTAAAGTGGTTTTCAATGAATACGTTACTTGCCCCATGACAGTCCGCAGAGTCCGTTACACACAGCCACAGTCCTCGCCACACAGTAAAAAACTGCTTGTCCCGTCACAGCCACCTATAGTGTCTAATCTGCGTTGGCTTAAGTAGGCTGGTGCTTCCACAATCAACCAATCAAATGAGGCCAAGCCTCCTCTCATGTACGCAGAAAGAAAATGAAAACAACACGTATGGCTCCTGCAGCTGTGATGTTTACTCTGAAGATGCGGACGCTAGTTCCCAGGCCTGTTAAAAAATGTCTTTGACGACTTTTGTAAATGAACACTGGTCTGCTCGTGTGTGGCCACTGGGGTGGCCCAGGACCCCCCTTGGGGGTGCCACTGTTTGACCCCCCCAGATTAGTGAGCAGTCAGCGTTGCTCCTGCTGCCACAGAGGAGCTGAAGATGATCAGTTAATCAATACGCCTGATCAGCAGCTCCTGGCTCGCACTGATGCCTGTCTCTTATTTAAATGTATTACTCTGAGCTTGATTAGTTGAGGCTGGATTCACAGAATTAGGCTCCTGTCATCTACATAAGTAACATTTTACAATTATTGGAAGTTTTCTTTTAACATGTAATGTTAAAATAAGGCATTTAAAGACAGACGTGTTGAGCTGGAGGAAACATCGTCCGTCTGATTCGACGCTGGAGATGAATTACTCGCTTTGAGACTTCTAGCTTTAATCTCAACTGAGGAAAAAAATCCCAATATTTTAACTAAATTATAATCTCAGTCATTAAAACTCACCTTTACCAGTTTTAAAAAGAAAAGAAAACGATAAAATACACAAAACAAGTGAGTCAGAGTTAAAACTTTTATTGATCTGAAATTAAAACACAGGTTAATAAGAGTCTTGTGAGGTTAAGTGACAGAGGCAGAGCTGTTCTGATTTAGCAGAACCATTAGAGTTGGGTCACGGTGACACAAACTGGTTTCTCAGACGGACTTCGTCCAGAATCTGTCATTCCCCAGAGGCATCGATGTGGTGGCTTAGCTCTTGGGTGGTGTGTGAGTAAAACTAATCAGCTTCAGGTGTTTCAGAAGTTCTGTCTTCGTCATTATTTTTATTTTTAGGTAGTGAAATTTGTTTCTTCTATCTTTTAATTTTGAAATTCTTTAAAAAGCTTTAAAAAAAAAGAGTGATGGAGAAGTTCAGGATGTTTACTGGGACATAAGCTCATTAGGAGGAAGTGGGACATGGTGAGGACTCGAGAGAGTAGACAGGAGTACAGGTACATGTAGTAAAGTAAAGGCAGAGGTGGTAAAGGGCTTGTGATGACCCGTAAGGAGGGAGGGGCTGGTGTGTACAGGCTGGTGAGACAGAGATCAGCAGGTTAGGGCGATCAGGGATGGAGATGTATTCATAACTATCAGATGGGAAGACTGAAAGAGTACTTTGAAGAGTTGATGGAGGAGGAAAATGAAAGAATGACTAACAGAGGAGGTAACTGTTATCAGAAAGCAACGAAGCATGAGCAAAAAGTGAGGAAGACGATGAAGAGGGGAAAGGCAGTTGGTACTGAAGGCATAGTCATGTGGAGGTATGGAAGGGTCTCCGAGGTGGCTGTAGAGGTTTGGACGAGGTTGTTCAACAAGATGGTAGAGGGTGAGAAGGGGAGGAAGGGGAGATGATGCAGATTTCTAACAACAAGGGAGCTGTGCAGAGTTGTTGCTGAAATAGAGTTGATGAGTCTCACTGTTCCAACCCAGCAACTAAGTCATGATTATAAAGTTTTAGAAATTTGATTTGTTGCATTAAGCAGAAGTACAGTTTCATGCTAAAAACGCTACTAGATGATTTGCTGTGAGGATGCTGATGGAGAGGAGCAGGGAATGTCAGACGCCATTGTGTCTTTGTAGATGTGGAAACTGTCCAAGACAGGGTACCAAGAGAGGAGCTGTAGTTCTGCATGAGAAGGTCTGGAGCGGCAGAGAAGAATGTTAGGTCAAGAGAGCTGTGAGACAGCAGAGAGGTGTGAGACAGCAGTGAGGTGTGAGACAGCAGAGAGCTGTGAGACAGCAGTGAGGTGTGAGACAGCAGTGAGGTGTGAGACGGCAGTGAGACAGCAGAGAGCTGTGAGACAGCAGTGAGCTGTGAGACAGCAGAGAGGTGTGAGACAGCAGAGAGCTGTGAGACAGCAGTGAGGTGTGAGACAGCAGTGAGGTGTGAGACGGCAGTGGGACAGCAGAGAGCTGTGAGACAGCAGTGAGATGTGAGACGGCAGTGAGACAGCAGAGAGCTGTGAGACAGCAGTGAGGTGCAAGACGGCTGTGAGACAGCAGAGAGCTGTGAGACAGCAGAGAGGTGTGAGACAGCAGTGAGGTGTGAGACAGCAGAGAGCTGTGAGACAGCAGTGAGGTGTGAGACAGCAGAGAGGTGTGAGACAGCAGTGAGGTGTGAGACGGCAGTGAGGTGTGAGACAGCAGAGAGCTGTGAGACAGCAGTGAGGTGTGAGACAGCAGAGAGGTGTGAGACAGCAGTGAGGTGTGAGACGGCAGTGAGGTGTGAGACAGCAGTGAGGTGTGAGACAGCAGTGAGCTGTGCTGCAGGAGTGACAGAGGAGGTCATGGTGGGGGTGGGACTGCGTGTTGTTTGCTGTGGTGATGGACAAACTGACGGGATGTTAGACGGGA